GAGTCCTTGTGGCGTTCTTCTTCTTGTGCTGTTGGTGTGGGGGGGTATCTATGTATCAGTGCGCTCTTTAGTGTTATCTTGAAAGTATTCTTTGAGTCGGAGACGGCGAAAGTAGGCTTCCAGATCACCGCAGAACTGTATCACATTTGTGGGAGTGGTGAGGCAAAAAGAGAGTCCCCGAGATACGGCAGACTCTTCTACCAAGTTGTGTGTGTAGATGGATAAATTGACGATATTGCTGGGTGAGTTAGGGGTACCACTGTTGTGGCCCCATGTGGCAGGTAGGATTTTAGACCGCTTACGATCTTTTTTTCCTTTGTAGAGAGGTGAAGTGTGTAATGTAGATCTCCTGTCTTATTTTAGTAAAGTCCGTTTGTGTGGAAGGTTGGTTATTTATGAAAGTCTCCAGGTTGGAGAGCTCTTTTTTGATGTTTTCCTGTTTGCTGTATCGGATGCTGATCAGGTGGTTCCTCAGTTTCTTTGATAGTGTAATGTAATACCCCAGGTAGATGAAATTTTTGTTTGTTTTTTTTTCTCCGTAGCTTCCTTGATGCAATTCACACTCCATTACAGCTGGCTTTTAACTTCATCACTTCTGATTTAGCTCAGGACCGTAAACAAAACCAAAGCAACTCAACTTTATTTTCCAGGCTCTTTATGGAAATCCTTAATGAATGTTCAGATGTGGATGAGATTAAATTCCAAGAGGATGGTTCTTGGTGTCCTATGAGGCCTAAGAAGGAAGCTCTGAAAGTGTCCAGTCCTCAGTGTACCAAAATAGAAAGTATGTATATTTGTGTACTGAATATCAAATGGATAAAAATATCTAAACGTTATAGACTCTCAGATGTAACTAGGATAACCCTTTTAGCTACCAGTAGTGAGTTTGGGGGCTTGGTATCCCTTCACCCGTTTAGATTTTAAAAGAACATCCCTTTCTCTCTCTTAAATTTTTTTTTTTTATTTATTTCATGTTGATTCTTTTGGGAAATGGACTGTTCATTATCCCTGGGAGAGGCACAAGAAGCAATTTGTTCCCCTCTGGTAACACAGAGATGTACTGGATGATCTAGGTCTTTTGGGGCTGGTCTTCACTACAGCGCTAAATTGGCACCACTGCGATTGATTCAGCGGCGTCAATTTAGCGGGTCTGGTGAAGACACAATAAGTTGACGGGAGAGCGCTCTCCCAGCGATATAGCACGGTGTAGATACCACATGAAGTTGGTGTAAGTTACGTCACTCGGGGTCTTTTCACACCCGAGTGACGTAACTTACATCAACTTAAGCGGTAATGTACATAAGGCCTTTGTGGCTCCCAGTCTTTGGTGCAGGGAGTAGTAATCCCAAGGTTGCTTTTGAATTCTGATTTCCTATATAGAGGCCAAAAGGCCCATGTTTCAGTTAAGTACAGTAGAATTTGAGAGGCTATTCATACCACAAATGGAAACGGCTGATGTTAACATTGCTTAAACAATTATGCTTCTCCTTTAGGTTCCACTGTTGTCAGCAAACCATGTTCTGTGACAGTGGCCAATGAGGTAAACAAGAAGAAAGTAGATGTTATCGACTTGACAAGAGAAAGCTCTTCTGATGAAGAGGAAGATCCTCCTGCCAAAAGGAAATGCATATTTATGTCTGAAACACAAGGAAGCCCAACCAAAGGGTTTGTTAATTTTAAAGTTAGCTTATCTGAGACATTACAGAATAACAACTAACATGTGGATGGACTTGTAAATATCTCTTCTGGATGCAGTTCCAAATTTCCACATCAGAACTTCTGTTGGGTTACTTCTTGCAGAAAACTGTATTAATATATGGTATCTTCGTACGGGTGATTATTTTATATAGTTTTACATCACACGGAGATTTGCCCTCACTTGTTGTGTATGCAAGAATGTACTCCCTTGGTGTGATAGCTGTGGCAGAGGGCGTCCCCAGTGCTAAATGCTAATGCATTCCTGCTAAACCAGCTTTCATTTAAGGGTTGAAAATACCACAAATAGTGAAGGGGGTCTGCATCCTGAAATCCTATAGTGCTGTTTCATTGATATGCTGGACTTCAGCATGTCAGCTTTAGAAGGGAAACACTGTACTGTGTTGAATCAACGCCTAGATTTTCCTTCCAAAGTCTGTATGCAGCTGAATTTCTTAAACCTAATCATCAGCCAGAAGAGAGACAGAAAACACTGTGTGAGAGAGGAGAGTTAAGTGGGTTAGAAGAAGCAGCAATGGGAGTTAAAGACCCCCCCAAAAAAACCACAAAACTCAACTCCAGAAGATTGGCAGAGATGGCAAAAAGCCATCCTGCTAAAAACAAGGAGGCCATATTCATTCCTGGATACAATTCTGTTGTTTTAATAGAGTTACAAGGGGGATGGATTTTGTTCAGTGGCTTTTGCCAGGCCCTGTCAGAAGTGCCACTTCCTAAAAGTTCTCTTATCTCATCATCCCCCTGTTTTTCCCAGCTAGACACAGGATTCCCAACTTCCAGTGAAATTACTTACCGTTACCAACATTTTTCTCTTCTGAGTCCCTCCCATTTTTTATATCACTCAGCAACAGTCCCAGGCTACATCTTCCCATCAGGGCATTTCAGTTGGAGTACTTTGGGGGCCTGAGAGACCTTTAGATACTCATCTAAAGAAGGGGAGTACAGTAACTCCTCGCTTAACGTTGTAGTTATGTTCCTGAAAAATGCGACTTTAAGCGAAACAATGTTAAGCGAAGCCAATTTCCCCATAAGAATTAATGTAAATGGCGGGAGGGAAATTTTTTTCCAGACAAAAAACTATATTATGTATACATATACGTATAGTATACGTTCTAAACAATTTCATGCTGTACACAGCAATGATGATTGTGAAGCTTGGTTGAGGTGGTGAAGTTAGAGAATTATAGAATATCAGGGTTGGAAGGGACCTCAGGATGTCATCTAGTCCAACCCCCTGCTCAAAGCAGGACCAATTCCCAACTAAATCATCCCAGCCAGGGCTTTGTCAAGCCGGGCCTTAAAAACCTCCAAGGAAGGAGACTCCACCACCTCCCTAGGTAACGCATT